TGAGTTTGGACCACTGCCCTTACCAAGCCAGCTCCATGTTTCTTCCTATTTTCATAGGTGATCCTGGAGCGCTATCCCAAGGAGAAAATATTGCCGGTAATGAACAAGGTCAAATTCCTTGTTCCGGAAGACCTCACTATGGGCCAGTTTGTCTCGATTATCCGGTAAGATCAGTTTTTCTGTAGCATGAATCCTGCTCTGCAGGGGTGGTGTTTTTAGATGATGCAAGTTGTTTTGACCTTTGCATTTGTCCACTGTTACCCCGCACTTAGCCCACCTAAGGTCTGAGTACAAGGTTAGGCTATAAACCTAAGCCCCTTGCATTGGTGAGAAATCCTCTTGATTCACTTTTCCTTCCTCTGGGCTTTGGCAAGTCCACAGAAGTTACCTCAAGATCTCCCCTTTGGTAAACACTGTTGACTTACTGTATTGTTGTAATTCAACTTGGACCTGAGAAGCGAGTACATGCACCACTTTTTTTTGCTGTCAAGTCACAGCTGACTTATGGCAACCCTGTAGGGTTTTCAAGGCTAGAGATGTTCAGAGTTGGTTTGCCATTGCCTGCCTCCGTGTTGTGACACTAATATTCCTTGGTGGTCTCCCATCCAAATAGTGACCAGGCTCAACCCTGCTTAGCTTCCAAGATTGGGTTATCCTGGGCTATCCAGGTCAAGGCATCTCAGGTCCAACTCAGATCTCTCCTCTGCGGTTAACATATTGGGTGGTCTTAGCCAAGTGGCTGTTTCCCCTAAACTGCAGCTCTCTCATCCAGTGTTCCTTCTAAGCTGAGTTAGTGTCAGCTAGCTCAGTTTTTTTAGCCACTGGCTCACACATTTTTGTCTTAGCTCAGGAAGGATGGCTCCAGAGCAAACTAAGCAGTAGCCAAATTGCTCGCTCACAACCTTAATGCCAGTAGCTCACAAAGTAGAATTTTTGCTCACAAGACTCCACAGCTTAGAGGGAGCATTGCTCCCATCCTATTATGAACAGAACACCGGCCTGCCACGTGGGATTGTTGGAAAGGTAACTTAAAATTGTGTGTGTGTGTGTATCCATAAACCCTAAGTATTTCTGTACTTTGCTTTTGGAAGATTGTGTTTACTTGAGCTTTACTATTTTATCCTGACAAAGTGAGATGTCCAGAGGGCCCTAGCAGGTTGTAGAAACAAGGGGGTTAAATATTTGCGACCTGGTTTAAGCTCCAGTTACATTAATGGGATTTAAGAGAGTCTGGTGTTGTGGGGAGGGAAATATCTCATTACACACAGGGAGGGGTGAGAGAATTTGTATGATCAGAAGCCTTGGTTTATATATTTTACAGACTGCCTTTCTCACTGAGACTCCAGGCATATTACAGAATAAAAACAATGTACTCTTCGCGACGTAAGACATGATATTTCTTACTCTCTTCCCTCAGAAACAGAATGTCCATTGGCTCCACACAAGCCTTCTACTTCCTGGCTGATAATAACCGCAGTATGGTTAACATGTCAGCCACCATGTCTGAAGTGTACTCGAGGTACAAAGACGAAGACGGCTTCCTGTACATGACCTACGCCTCGCAGGAGACGTTTGGCTGACAGCACTTGAGCTGTTCAGGGGTCACAAGCCTTCTACTTCCTGGCTGATAATAACCGCAGTATGGTTAACATGTCAGCCACCATGTCTGAAGTGTACTCGAGGTACAAAGACGAAGACGGCTTCCTGTACATGACCTACGCCTCGCAGGAGACGTTTGGCTGACAGCACTTGAGCTGTTCAGGGGTCATGATTTGGTTGAAATCGGTTTCTGCCTCTCTGACCACACCACCCACCTTCTCTTAAAAACTGGATTGCGTTCTTCTCAGAGTGCCTGGCTGGCTCTACGCTCCTCTGCTGTGTCACATGAAAACCCTTAGAGATCTTTCTGAAGGGGGGGAGGGCTGTCTTGGACGAAGTA